CCCCAAAACCCCAAAACCCCATCTTAAGTAGAAAGGGTATCTAGCAAATAGTGAAAATATTAAGATTAATCATATGCTATTTCATACTAGCACTTAATACACTTCAATTTCTATTACTTTAAAGTCCTCACTGCCAGCCATATAATCAATAGCTTACTAATCCCCCTCCTTAAAACCTTATGGAGGCATATATGTACCACCTAAGCAACAATAACTGCTGTTATTATTATTACAATCATTTGAAATATAAATATCACTACCATTACTACCATTACCAAATGCCATTAAATAATCTTAGTGATGATTAACTGCTTGATCAAAGTTTTGATATTATTTGTGCAGAGTGTTCATAGTCAAATTAAACACAAATGCATCATTATCTGTACAACATTAAGTACTATCAGGTGATGTCCAAGAGAGTGATGTTTAACCTCCAAATACATAACCTTATTGGCTTTATATAAATGAAAAAGTAGCACCTTGATTATCGCAAAGATTATGAAAACTCCTAGCTGTAAATCCATCTCTTGTTGCTTTGTAGAGTAATCTGGTTTCATAAGGTATTAAAAATAGATTTTGCTGGCAATTTTTATCCAATATTTTGTCGACTAGTCTTCTAAATTCTAATGATTTTTGTTCTGGAAATACTGGTATCTATTAATGTTTTTATTACTGTTTACCCTCTAGCTCTCTGGCATAATTTTTGAATTTCTCTGTCTCCTTAGATTAATAGTCTAACTTGGCTTGATAATCTATAGACAAAGTTTCCAACTTAATTTAATATTCTTTTGATTAATTGTCTAATTTGAGTTGGAATTCTTTTGATTAGTTGTATAATTTGGTTAAATTTTCTTTGGATAATGAGTCCAACAGAGTCTAGCGTTCTTTTTAATTTGCATCTAATTTTGCTTAATTATCTTTAGTCAATTGATCAATTTTCCCTTAATATTCCTTTGATAAAGCTATTAGCTTATTTTCATTTTCTTTTTAAAGTGAAGTTAATTTGGCTTAATTTTCATTTTACTAGTTATCAAGTTTAATTTAGAATTTCAATGCTTAATTACTTAGCTGAGCTTAATATTATTGTGATAATTAATCTATTTGGTCTTTATAATCCTTTTAAGGAGTTTAAAATTAAGCATTATTCTCTTTAACTTGAAAATTTAATTTAGACTAGCAATCTTAAAACTATTATTTTATCTCTGCTTAGTGTTCTTTATGTTATAGATCTAACTTGTCTTCGTATTCTTTCTTTTTAATTTCAAATAGAACTTATTATTCCCTCAATTAATTTTGTAGGACAGTTACTTGATTTTCAAGATCCTCATTTAAGATATCACCTTAAAATTGAACAAATCCTTATTTCTGCTCCTCATCATTGGTTTATTTCATTTAGCTGATAAGATTTTTATCAGTTGCGTTAACCATTCTAAATGTCTCTCTAAAATAATTGTTATTAAAATTAATAAATTACGAAAAACTTGACAAAAAGTTAATTATATCGAAATTCACTTTGAGGCTATTCTTTGATAAATATTTAGATTTATGTATTTAAAAATCATCAAAAGCAGATTATTATAGAATTGAGCAAATCAGATTGATCAATTATTAAATCTCATTAGCATTATAGTTTTTTTTTTTGCTGGTGAAAGTTTGAATACTGTCAAGTATTGTATTGATTTAATTGATTTATTCTTTTAATTTAAGGGTTACTTTTTCAAATGCGTCATCTAAAAATTTCCTTTCAAAAGGAAAATGTGCAATACTTTCGAGGTTACATTTAGAATGAGATTCAGTCTAAGAGCAGAAAGCGCAAATTATCGTATTTTTCCTCAAGCAATAGAATTGTATTTGACTTCCTTGGTGTTCATTACAATTGATTTGATCATGAACTAGTTTATTTAGAATTCTTACTAGGAACTTTGATTCTTTAATCTTTTGATCAACTCCAAAAAGATGAGAGTGATCAATTGGGCATTAAATTTGTTAATTTTATACTTAATCCTTCTGAATTTGGTAGCATTAACTACAGATCTCACATTTACAAGGCAAAATCAAGGGTTTTCTATCCTCTAAATTGCATAAATTCTTGCAACTAGGGCAAGTTAAATCATCTTAAAAATTTTCCAGCATCTTTCCAAATTAATTAAAAACAATAATATAATAAAGTTTAACATTTGTTTCTCTTATACTTTTAAATTTTTGTCCAATTTTATTTCACATTTCTTCTTCACTTTAAATTCTAAACTCTTGGGGTTTTGGGGTTTTGGGG